ACAATAGTTTTAAGGATGTATCTGAAGGTATATAATTTTATTTACAAAATATTTTTATTGTTTATTTCGATGCAGTATGTATGACTTTTTTTTTTAATAATAATATGTCAATAGTATATCAGAAAATTCTGTATAGATATAAAATTTTATAAGAAAATACTGCTATATATATTTTATTATAATTTCAGTCTTATTAATTTTTTTTAGATGATATTTTTCTTGGTTTATTATTTTATACTTTTTCATCGAGTATCATCAGAACTAACAGATGCATTTGCTACTAATTTGAATGGCGAAAACGAAACATGGAAACAAAGTTTAGAACTAAGTTCCAGAGATAGAATAAAGGATTCTAGTTACCTGCTGGGCAGGTATCCCATAAGAGAATTACCATCCGATTCCTTTAATTGTCATAGGCATGCAAAATGTGTAGAGATGCAAAAGAATACATGTATGGGCACAAGATTACCATATACTACTACTACATTGGAACTTATACCTGAACATATAACTCAAGATATTATGGAGGTACTTTTACTTTTTATTTTTTTGATATATATTTTTTTTATTTTATATATATATATATATATAATATTTAATTGTAAAATATAAGTCTTAATTTTTAAATTTAAAAATAAGTTCTTCAATTTAAAATCATTTTCTGTTTTCTTTATTTTTTTTGTGATTGAAGAAATTTTTATGATTGATTTCTATTATTCATTGTATGTTAAATATTATGTATTTATTTTACAGGAAAAATTACATGTATTACAAGCATTAAGACATGTGCCAAAGTGTTGGGCAGTTGTTCAACCTCTCTTGTGTTCAATATTTATGCCAAAATGTATCAATGACACAGTAGATTTACCATCACAAGAAATGTGTAAAATGGTTTCAGGACCTTGTAGAATTGTATTTAATCACACAATATGGCCAAGTTTTGTTAAATGTGAAAATACAGATTTATTCCTAGATTATGTAAAAATGATATTAGAGAATTGAAATTTAATATTTCTAGCAAATGCTTAAAGCCTTTGGTTCCAACTGATAATGCCCTTGCCATTTTTGAAGGAGTTGAAGGTTGTGGATTACAATGTAATGACCCATTTTTTACGCCAGATGAACATAAACAAATTCATTCTTTTATTGCTTGGGCTGCAGGAATCTGTGGTTCATTCAATTTATTTACAATTGTAAGTAATAATTATTTGAATAAAAAGGATTTAATATATTATATAAATTAAAATATATTAAAATATATTTATTATTTAAATAAAATAAAATATAATATATAATATTGCATTTCATTTATATTTTATTTTAGATAACATTTTTAATTGATTGGAGAAGTGCAAATAAATATCCAGCTTTAGTAATATTTTATATTAATTGTTGTTTTATGGTATCCTGTATTGGATGGCTTGCTCAATTTACACCAGGAAGTAGAGAAGTAATTGTATGTAGAAAAGATGGAACTTTAAGAATGAGTGAACCGAGGTAAATTATGATTATTTAATGTGTATAGTATATTATTATATATAATAAATTGTTTTATTCAAAATTATATCAAGTCAGATATAAACAAACTTTGTATATTACTAATATACTTGTATATTATATTTAACTAATATATTTTCAGTGGAGAAAATTTATCATGTGTCGTAGTATTTGTTCTTGTGTATTACTCTCTTATGGCAGCTATGGTCTGGTTTGTGATTCTTACATATGCTTGGCATATGAGCTTTCAAGCATTAGGCAAAATCCAAGATAGAATTGACAAAAAGGGTTCATATTTTCATTTAATTGCTTGGTGTTTACCACTTGTCCTCACTGTCACAATCATGGGATTAGGAGAAATTGATGGAAATAGTGTTACTGGTATATGTTTTGTGGGTTATACTAATCATGCAGTTAGAGCTTGGTTTTTACTTGGCCCTGTGTTGATTGTTTTACTGGTTGGAGGTTATTTTTTATCCAGAGGTATGTTTTTAATTTATATGTTTGTAATTAAATTTTTCATTATATGCAATTTATATAAAAAATATATATATATTTTTTTGTATGCTTTCCTTAAAGATCATGATTTGTAAGTATTTTTAATAAATAAAAATAAATATTAAAAAATCAAATTTTTAAATTCAATTTAAGTAATATTATTGTAAATAATTTTAGGATTAATTACTTTGATTCGATTAAAAATCAGTAGCCAAGAAATTATATCTGAAAGAGCAAGTTCTAAAATACGAGAAACTATTGTACGTATGGGATTGTTCTCGATTTTTACATTCGCTGCAGTTGTGGTGACTTTTTATTGTCATATTTATGAATTTCAACATTCTTCAGAATGGCATCAAAGTTTTAGAAATTATATGATGTAAGAAAAATAATACATAAAAAGTTAATATGTACATATATCATATCTAAAATTTTATATTTCATTCATAGATGTGCAATAACTACAAAATATTTGGATATCTCTGAATGTAAAATGGAAATCCGACCAAGTGCAGCTAAAATGCAATTACATTTGCTATCGCCTTTCTTTGCTGGTATTCTTATGTCTTCATGGGTATGGACTGGTTCAACAGTAGATACTTGGACTAGATTTCTTAGACGGTAAAATTTTAAATATCGTTTTCATTTTTATTAATTTATATTTAATAATAATACAATAATTTTTTTATATTTTAGAACATTTAATTGTGAAACTGAAGAACCTATTAGACTAAAAAAACATAAAGTAATCGCTCAAGCATTCGCAAAACGGAAAACATTTAATAATGCTGGTCGATTATCTATCAGTTTTCATAATACTCACGAAGATCCAGTTGGCTTAAATTTCGATTTAAATTCCGTAGCTTCTCAAGATTTCAGTTCAACATGGGCAGCTGCTTTACCAAAGTTAGTTACTCGTAGAGGTGCACTCGTTGGTGGTACAACGGGATCTGTATCCAGTAATAGAAGAAATTCTGTAGATTCTGAAATTAGCTTCAGCGTGCGTCGAGTATCCGTAGAATCCAGAAGAAACTCTTTGGATTCTCAAATATCAGTTCAAATAGCTGAATTGAAAACAACGCGGAAAGTTGCTAGCAGTTCACGCGGTCGACGTGGAAAACGGCGACGAGATTTTGGAAAATCAAGATCAAGTAAAGTAGGCCCATTGTTTAGAAGAGGCAGTACAACATCACAAGAAAGTCAGCTTGGTGCACAGATATTGTCAGCGTTAACTATAGGTGGTAATTCAAGAGTACCACCTATTCAAGTACCTAATATGAAGAGACGATCGGCTAGTGCTGGTTTAGATGAACGTGCTTTGAATTCTAAGCTGTTTGATGGGAAAAATCCAGGGATGTTGCTTCCGTTTTTGTTTCCAGGACAAAGTGGTAGTGATGAAAATTTAAGTAGCGAGGAGAAACAACATCAAGGAATGCCAAGAAAAGATGTAGATATTGAAGGTGGAAATATGGAGAAAGATGATCAAGATAGTGATAGTGATGATAGTCAACCGGAAGAAGAAGCAAAAATGTTAGATCCTGAAGAACCCCATGAACGTAGCAAAAGTAAAACTAGTAACAAAAGTTCAAAAAGTTATAGTCACGAAAGTGATAGACGGAGCAGAGAAGGCCGTAAAAGTAAATATCTGCTTCAAGATGAAACCATCTTGAAACATTTGTTTCAGGAATCTAGTGATATTAAGTTGAAAAGCGATGCAGAAATAAAAGAAGTGTATAGAAAAGCTGGGATAGGTAATCTAGCATCTAGTCTAACTTCATGCTGTCCTGAATTAACAAGACTCATGCAATCTGAAGGTCAGACTGGTAATGCTCGAGAAATAGCAACACAAACATCTTTGCCATTAGACATTTTAGAAATGGAAGAATTAAAACAAAGTATAGATGAGATTATCAATAGTCGAAATTGTAGTTCAAAAGGAACGCAAATTTCACCACAGTTGAATAAAAACAAAAATATCACTACGTAACGCTAATTTTTCTTTTCGAAAAACTCTTAATATAAAATTAGATATAAAAAATAAAATATTTTTTTATCAGTCATATAATTGCCACATTACCAAATTTGATCTTTTCTGTATATTTGTAATAGACTGTATATTTATAATAGTGCAATGACATGATTTCAACTGTAAATAGATAAATACATACATTTTATTAGAGATAAAATTGTAATTCAAAAAATTTTTTTTAAAACTTATTAAAGACATAAACGTATCATAAACATACTTCATTTTAGTTTTTATATAGAAGAATCTAAGTTTATTTTTAACATTTCTTTATTACAGTATTCTCAAAAATACATATCTTAATGTACTTAAACTGCATATAAATATTTTTTAATATAATACGCGAGCGTATGTTCAAGTACAATTTATTTTATTATTTTAAATTTATATTAATTTTTTTTACCAATATATTTAAAAAGTTATATTACAATATATTATGCAAAATATTTAAAAAATTATTTAGTATTTACATTTCTAATGTAATATTTAAAATATTAATAAAAAAAATGCACAAATTATATAAAATGCGTTTTTATTTGATAATATTAATAATTTTTTCAATTTTTATGTCTATTTTATACAAATTTCTATAATAACATAATTTGTCACTTAAATATTTTAAAAAATATCTAATTGTTTTAAATACAAATATTTCATTTTTAATATTTATTATATTATAAAAAAAGTCCATAAGCAATAATTGATAATTTCTCTATATAGTTTAAATTTTTTGATATTCCAATCTAAATTATTTCCAGAAAATATCAATTAAAGCAAAACTTTTAAATATTTATTAAAAATAATATTTTATTTTTATTTTTAATTCACCTTTAATCTAGAAGCATAACAGAAAATATTAACAAAATGTATATATGTTCTGTACTATATCTAATAGAATCTATATATTATTTTTTACATTTGTGAAATAAAAAATATTGCAACTCGATTTCGTAATATGAATATGGAATTTCTCTTTATAATCACTTCATTCTTTTTAATATGAGATCCTATGACTTGACATCAAAGCATAAACATACATGTATATTCATCATTTTTCTTTTTAATTTTCACAAAAATATTTTCCTCTTGCTCGATTCTTCAACATGAACGTCATTATGCTTTCAAATCCGGTCCGATAACTTCTGCTACGTATTTTTTTCCTATACTCGATACAAATAGAGCCATCAGTGTTTTCTTTGTTGTCAGAGTAACATAATTTGTTGAACATATAAAAATATAATAATTGCGTGTATATATATGTATTCGTGTTTTTTCATTTTTCATTTTTTTCCAGTTTTTAATTTGCATCACCATGAATATCAGACACCAAAGTGTGTAGAGAGACAATTAGTTTGCTCTTTTTCTTTCATCATATATGACACAAGCCATACAGAAGAAAATCACATCTATGTACTTATACATGCTTCAGTTATGCCACCCTCTTCAGTGAACAAATTATTAACGATCGCGTTCTCTTCGTGCTTTCTGCTTTAAAATAATAAATACAATCCTGCATTTGTACATGCACACGTTATCATATTTTTTTAAAAATTTTCGAGAAGATTTATTTAATGGCGTGTTATGCATACATGCCGTAATGTAAAATAAATGGGAAATGATGGGAAAAGAATTAATTTTTGTTTTATTCACCATCACCTAAGAGGAGGCTAATTATATATAATCAAAATTAGCACACCTTATCACCCATGAGCAAGGTTATTTGCTTTTGGCATAAGATTTTTTATGTTTAATATATTCGTTACCCCAAAACAAGTTGTCCATTTTTTCGCCGATAAAATACAAGCCTATACTGAACGTGATCAATGTACTGAAAAACACAACTCGTAATGGCAATGATAGCACTTCCAATACTGGATATACCCAGACACCGCTTTTGTAATAAATTATATATATCCTGGAAATTTGAATAATTCATAATTACATAATAACCATTACATAATAAATACATAATAATACTTATATATATTAAATAATTAATAAAAATAAAATAAAAATAAAAAAATAGAGAAATATATTAAAATAATATATTTCTATAATTTCTATATTTTCAACATACCAAACTAAATATATAAATAAGAATATTATTATACCAAGGAGACCATTCGATCTCTTTGGATATGTACGTGGCGCTAAAATCGTTTCTACTAATATGGTAATCATAATCATAGTATGCATTAAATGATTTAACCACCATGGAAAATAAGGATCTACAGCTTTTGGAAGCACCAATTCACGATCCACAAACATTAGAGCCCAGAATGTTACTCCAACAAACTATGATCCATGAAAATCGTAACATATATAAAATATTAATTTTTTTTTAATTTTTTTTTTTTTTACTTACCATGGCAATCGGAAAACTAAGTATCGCATGTATATAATCTTTTAATTTACGTATAAATGGTGGCTTTTTGGGACTAACAGCATTTGTACCAAACCAATCATTTAACATACATATAAAAAAAAATACTGCTTGAATGATCTGAAAAAAATAAATTATATTAAATCATCGCCCACAGAATTAATAAGAAAATTTGAATATATTATTCTATTTTATAAATATTTTACTTTGAAAATTACAATAAATTAAAATTACTTTGAAAATAATATATTTTATAATATTTAACGATGATTTATGTAAATATCTAATCATTAAATCAATTTTATTAAGTTATTAAATTAATCAGAAATAATTTCTTCGCTAAAAAATGTAATGTTGAAATTAGATAATAAATGGATAATATTATTTCTGCAATGGTATACTATTTTTTTCGATTATTAAATAATATATTATGATTTTTCAGATATATAATTTTTGAATATAAATATAGACTATGTAGTGATTTTTTAAAATAATTTATTTATATATTTTCAAATATTATCAATATTTATTTCAAAACTATTAGATAATTTTTTAAAAATAAATAAATAAATTGTATATTTTTCCATACAATAATGAAAATAAATATTTATTGGATGATATGATCTAAAATTATAACATATTTTGTTAAATATTATATTATATTATTGCACATAGTATAATTTTTAATAATTTATTTATTCAGAGAGATTTTCTTAATACATGTCAATTTTTAACAAGATAAATTTTTAATATATTAAATCAGTTTAAATTAATTAATCAAATATAATAATATATGATATATTATTTAATGATTAAAATATATAGATTAATTTTAAAAAAAACTTCGAATGAAAATATACTGTATAAAATAATTATACCAAAAAATATTAATAATTTTCTCGCGTGAATAAATCAAATCATATAATAATAGTCACTTGATCATACATGGATAATATGACATGACACGTGCCATAGTTCCGAGATAATATGGAGTGGTGCTCGAACAATTGAATTTTGCTGTTCTTTGAGTTCATAATGTAATATCAATGTAAAATATCTTCACATTGAAAATTATCCGACGGCAGTAAATCATAATAGAAATATTTAATATTTTCAAATTTATTGATTAAATTATTAAAAAAATAATTTATTTTAAGTCAATTTTATATTGCAATCATTTATTTTAATATCATCGATAAGAAAATATTTGAACAATTAATCTACAAATCGATTGATCTACAAATCGACTTGATACATATATTTTATGAATAGTTTAATTTACATATCAATTTATTTATTGATTCTTGCTATAAATAAATTTTATAAATTTTATAATTATATATAATGTATGTGATAAATAAGATATAAATATATAAATAATAATCTTCTAAAAATTAATATTTTATAATTTTACGTGTGATTTTCAGAAAATTGATAATTATTAACTTTGTCAGTTTTATTTCACAAATTGAATCAAACTTACATCTTTACAGAACCGTAAGTGATTATATAATATTGATTGAGTGAATAATCTCATAATATAAAAAAAGAATAAGTCATTGTTTTATGATACTAACCGCGTCCCAGAAAGTAAGAAACTTGAATTTCCCGCCGAAATTAATATGCATTTTGATAAGATTTGGAGGTATTGCAATGTACATATAATCATAATACACTGCAAATGCAAATTGCATACAAGAGATCACATGAAATCCAAAAAGTAGATCGTCTCGCATCTTTTAAGCGCTTTACATATAAGTTTTATATTCTGAAATGTTTTGATAGATTTTCATGATAGCGATCATATTTAACTGATCGAATAGAAACAATTTAATAAAAAAACATTTATTTTTATTATATAATATTCACTATATAATAAATTCCCATTTTGTATGAGATCGTTTTAATTTGTATGAGATCGATTTATTTAGAAATTCAAGAAGTATAAAATTTTTGATCCTCCGTTTTCATGAAAAAATTTTTTCCATTTTATTTTTATTTTCCATTTTATTATTTAAAATTAAAATATTAATTATATATTAGTAATTATATATTAGTAATAATAATACATTATATATTATATTAGTAGTAAATAATATTAGTAAATAATATATTTGTTTTTTATAGGTATAAATATATATAATAAATAATCTACAAATATATATATATGTTATATTATGATATATTATATTTTTTAATATTAACGAGAAATATTAATTGTTTTAATATAAGAAATATTAATTGTTTTAATATTTACATTTTCATTTTATTTAAATTTACAAAATCAATTAAAAAAAAATATGAAATAATTATTATTATAGTGTTTATAAAAATTATATAAAAAAGTTTAGTCTTAAATTACTTAAATATATTTTTTTAGTATGTAAATAGTAGTATAAAAGTTGTAATATAAGAGTGTATAATAGATCATTTTATATCATCGTTAAAAACAATAAACAATAATAATAGTACAATAACGAAATAACTGCTTCTTGAAATTTGAATTATTTTAATGACTTCATTGTAAATTACATTTCCATTAATATTTCTATTAAAAATATATAACACATATATAAAAATAATATTTAATTTTAAGAAGATTTTAATATATATATATGTATATATATTTAATATTTAATATTTTTAACATTGAAAAGTAATATATTCTGAAATCTATTTATTATAATTATAATTATTAATCATAATCATTTTATAATTTTATAATTTACTTAATCAAACAAAAATCACTATTTAATTAATAAAATTCTATTAAAAATTAAACTTATATAAAGATTATACATATTATTATTATATAAAGTTTATTTATATAACATTTATTTAATATTATATGTTTATATAAAGTTTATAAATATTTTTTAATTTTAATGATTTTCAAAAATATATTTAATTCTTGCAACTATTATTATTAGAAAAATTAATTTCATTTAATTTATTTTAATACCAATATAGTAATTAATTATAAAATGTAGACTTATAGAATATTATATATGGAATATAAAAGCAGTTTAAAGTAGTATAAAAAGCAGTTTCTAAGAATCTATCTATTTTTTTTTATGTATAATCTCTATTATTAACAAAATCATATTATAAATTAGATTTTATCTATACATATTATCTATATATTTTAATTTGTAATAATCATAATTTAATCATTTCTAATAAATCATAATCTACAAAATAGTAAATTAAGTTTACGTAAATTATTTATAATATATAAATAAAATAACAATAATATAATAAAATAACTATATATTAATAAAATTTATTATCTCATGTATAATTTTTATTTTCATTGAACGTTAATAATAATTTTAAGAAAAAGGAGGATTCATTTTAATTAATATTGTTAATTTTAACTAAATTTTCAATTGTTATATTAAATGAAAAAAATTAATTCTGAACACACGTGTACAATTTATTGGTATATTATGGTTATGATCTTATAGCGTCAATTGACTTGTGATTTATATAATTTCAATAAGATAATTTCAATTATTTTGATTACCTATCAATATGTTTTTATGTTTTTCGTGGATATCTTTTACTTTATTGTACTTTTTTAATATATGTAAAATTATTTATGGTTATACAAGTCACACCAGTTTTTGTCACATGTACAAACCGTACTAATAGTATCGACCGTGCCGACAGTCTGTAATATACTGACGGATAGACGAAAATACACTGTGAGAAAGAAAAAAATGATTCACGATGTGCATTTTCTTAATTTGGAAAGAATAAAGTAGTACAAATCAAAATTCATAGAAATATATAAAGATAACAAAAAAAAAAACAAAAGAAGATATTAAAATATACATATTGATATATATGATGAATATAAAACAAGTAAAAAAGAAAAAAAAATTTATGACTATTTGTATTCTCATATATTGTTATTACTTTATACTTGTAACAACAGAGCTAATATCATCAAACTTGTCTATATTTAGCAAGTGATATCTATTCTTTTATTTTTAATCTTTCTATTTTTCTCAATTGAAATATGCATTGACTTTGAAAGATGAATAAATAAAGGATAGATAATGAGAAATATAATTAAGATTTAATAAACAAGAAAAACAAGATATATATAAAAGAGAGAAAATATAATAAAAGATGAAAATAAGATAAAACTATAACAAAATGCGCATAAGTTTTTGCAGTCAGAGATTTTCAAATTTATTGTCAAGTATCTGATTTTTTTCTTAAACTTAATAGAAAAAAAAAAATTGTTTTAATCTATAAATCTTTTTTAAAAATAAATATTTATAATGAATAGTTTATATCACTATTGAGAAACTTCTTTTGATTAACAAACATTTTTTAATCAAAAGTGCAAAATCATTTCATTAAGATGTGTAATATATATACTAATAAAATGATTGAATCAAGATTAGAGAGAAACGATTATTATAAAAACGTTACGCAATTTTTTATTTCCTGTTGCATATATATATATAGACTTACATACATTGGTTAATATTGTATTATAAATAATTTTTTAATGCTAATATATATATTATATTAAATATGACAATAATATATAATATAAAATATTCAAAAATATTAAAAAAAAATTTTTACTTTTTACAAAAAATTTAAAACTTATCAGATAAAATACCTTTTTAAAATGGTTAACAAATGTTTATTTTTAGATGCTTTTATTTCAGATTACGATAATAGAATGATAATAGAATTTCCAGTAGATTTAAATGTAATTTAAATATATTAAATAATTAATATAATAGATAAGATAATAGCATTATAAATTTTACAAAGTTTTAAAAAAAATAATAACTAACTTATATGAGAAATTTATTTTATATAATAATTTTTATTTAATATTACAATATTGTTTCTTTAAAATAAGGAAAGATAATTTCTGTTAATTTTCTGTTAATAAAGAATGACGTATAATTGATATATAATAATGTTTTCAATCATTAACTTTTATACTTTTATTTTTCATTCATATTTAATAAGTTTTATTATCTTGTTCTGATTAAAAAAAGTATGTTTTGAAAACAATGGATATTATGAAAACATTGTTATTTAAACATGAAGATCTATTATATTACATGATACTATCAATGAATCAGTATATAACCTAGTACATAACATTTAAGTCGCCATATGGCGCCATCTATTGACATTTGTGAAATAAACAATACATTCTTATATATCTGTATATAAGCATTTATAAGTCTGTATTTACGTAATTAAAAATAAAAAACTTTATTTAAAAATTATTTTCTAAATTTTATTCTGGTCGTTATTAAAATATTCGTAAAAAAAAAATAAATATTTGTAAAAAAAAAAATATTGAAAATATTTGAAAATATTCCTTATTTTTTTCCAGTATAATAATTTCAAATATATTTTCAAATATTTTTAAAAATTTATATTTAACTTTTACAATAAATATATGATATTATCTTAATTAGTTAATAATTTTAAAATTTTTTATTATAATTATTTTTTATGATATACAATTCATTTTCATTGTTTATAACTAGTTGTATTATAAGTACATATTAAAAATTATATTAAACAATGAAATAATATGAGTAATAAAATATTTAAGTATTTATAATAAAATAAATGGTTTTAAAAAATGTAAATTTGTTAATAATAGAAATATATAACTTACCACATCCCATATAGTCAAGTATTTGAATTGTCCAGGATCGAATTTAGTAAATCGAATATTAAGCGTTGGTATACGAAGTGTAAATGCTATATATAACGTAAATACATACATCAGACATGCTGAAGTGTGGAGTAACTGATTTAACGTATAGGTCATTTTGTTAAAATTCTAGAAAAAGAAAAATTAATTATATAATAAAATACTTATATAATATACTAATAATATAAATACTTTTAAAAAAAATTATTTTCCTGTTAAATTTGCTAATATTGATGCATAATCCCTATTTGACATTTATGATGTATAGGTTAGATTCAGTAAACAATTAAATGATTCTTTTATATTATCATATTTTTATTTTTTATTACAAAAATTATAAAAAAATTTCATAATGTATTTTTTGTATTATTTAAATAATATATATTTAAATAATAATTATATTAATATTTCTAATTTTAATATAATTATGAAGAGATAAATACATTATGAAACTTTTCTATAATTTTAAAATTTTATTAATTTTAAAATATTAATATAATAATATAATTAATATAATTATTTTATTAAGAACAATTCAAATAATTTTATTTAAATAATGCAATTATCAAATATATTTAGATTTTAATTTATGTTTAGAATATATACTTGTATGTACTTATGTAACAGAGATATAAAAAAAAAGATTGATTAATTTTTTTAATTTATAATTATGATTCTATATACATAATGATCACAATTTATTAATTTATTTACAAATTAGTATTCAATTATATATGATTCAATTATATATGATAAACAATTTTTTAATATTCGAATTACTTGAATATTTTTTAATTAATTGAATGCAATTTTATAATGTATGTATAGAATTATTTATTTGCTTTTAAAGAACAAATTATATATCAATAATTTAATAAGAATAATTGAATTAAATCACATACATATTAAATAGAAGCACAGATTTTTTACTTTAAAATTGTTGCTAATAATTGCAAGAATATCAAGTAGAAAAAATAACTAAATTTTTATTATCGAAATCAGTTGAATAATGAATATATACGTAATATATACATCAAATGTAATTGTTGAAACAAGACTATATTTACGAAACAAAAATATGTTTATGTAAATATGTTTAATATTAAAAAACATTATTGGCATTATTATAAAACATTATTATAAAACATTAAATAAAAATCTATAAATACATTTATATATATAATATAAATATATATTTATACTATATACTATATACTATATACATGTATATGTATGTATAGTATAATATATAATATATATAGTAATAATATATAATAGTAATAAATATATATATATATATTTATACTATACGTAAAAAAAATACTGTAGATTTCTTTGGTTTCAACTTTTTTAGTTTTAATCTTTTAGTTTTTTTTTAATTTAATTTTTAGTTTTCTAAAAATAATATAAAGTCCAAAGAGTAAAAACATAATAAATAACATATTATATTATATATTATATAACAATAAATTTCAAAGAAAGAAGTCATATGACAATTTTTTTTTGAAAAAATTATCAAAAATATTAAAAATTATAAATAAATTATTATTATTAAAATTATAAATAATATAAAATATTATATATTAATTAGATATATTAAAAATAAATTTCAAATTTTTTTTTTTAAGCTGAAAAACTATTATATTATGAAAAATATATATTACAAAAAAGAACGTAATTATTTATGCGTGAAGAAAAAAAAACTATTTATAATTTACATAACATGATTTCTTCGTTTTACTTACGATAAAACATTATATGTTTTTTAAATAAAATATTAAAGTTAAAATTTCAACTAACAAGGACTAATTAAAAATTGTTCAATTTATATTATATAAAATATGTTAAAAAAAATTAAATTTTCTGTGAATTGGTCATCAATTTCTATTTTATTCACGAAATTTTATATATATTGTAATATATACATATATATGTATATGTATATGTTAATATGATTTATCTTTGTCAATTCTGCAAAGCAATTGTATTTAATTTTTTAAATAACTTATCATTCATTAATATTTTTATTTTTAATTAATTTTCTAATCAAATTAAAAGTTAATTAAAAATTTTAAAATATTATTTTAATATAACTAAAACTTTAAAATATCTATTTTATTATTTATTATATATTATTTAATTTTATATTCTCCATTATTCTTAATTACTTTATTTTATATGAGATACATTTATCAATTATCTTAAAAAATTATTATTTTCAACTTAATTACTTATATAATTGTTATTTATATTGTTTCAACATGACACTTTCCAAAAAATTCAATTCAAGAGAATTATTTTATTAAAAAGTTGTTTGTGTGAAAAAACTTTTTGTTTTATACATAATATTATACATAAATAATTTTAATCATATTATACATTCTATTATTTATTTTTTATTATTTTTAACTCTATCTTTATTATAAAATACTTTTTTTCACTTTTATATTTATATTATAATCTATTTAACACAATCTTACTTTTAATTATCTTTTAGTTATCTTCTAATTATCTAACTCAATAGACGATTGAAAATTATTAGAAAATTTAATTATATCAATCAATACTAAATGATATTTGAATTTTAGAATATAGAATTTAAGAATAAAAAATATATGCAAATAATTCGATTCACATTAGTAAGATATAACAGAATCTTGATGCAAACCTTAGTTAATCGACGAAGTATGTTATGTACCAATTTCAATAGGAAGCTAGCCATGAACTGAACATTAGCTGTGCCCCACAACTCTCTATACCGACGACGAGCAATGATAAAATATACTGAAGATATAGAGAATCATCAACTGATATTTATCAATATTTATTCGAAATTATCATATTATTAAAATAAATTTTTATTCAAATAATTAATGAAATAAAATTTGTATTTTATTTGTTATTTGATCTGTCATATTATTATTTAATAATTTTGTATGAATAATAATATATTTAAAAAATTTTCATGATAAATATAAAATGCTCAATTCTA